TTGAGTGAACATTTATTTTCAATAACTTCATCATCAGGCTCTACAGCTATAAGTTCATAATTATGTTATTCTACAAAGGATAAAATAAGCCATGTATTAATGAATTTGACAATGTTATGTGTTAACATCTTATGAAAAACTAACACTCGATTAATACAAAACTATTGTACGTGAATATATGAAATGTTACAGACCATAGTATAGTTATAAATCGAGAAACAATAATAATATAAAACTAAATTCTCAAACCCTATATGTTGTACTTTCTGTTTTACATTTAACTTATTATATACTGTATGTGTTATTTATAAGGATAAAAATTCAATTGATAGTGATATAACCTTTTCTTAGTGATATCAAACATTAAAAAATCGCTAATGAATAATTATTAATAAACTTGTAACGATTCAACAACTAAATATTCAATGTTTAAATTGAAAGTCTATAACGTTGTAAATAAATTTCTTTTAAAATACATAGAAATAATTGTATTTATAATAAATTTTTTTCAATTATTCATTTGAATCATTTCTAGTCATTGTTCAATGTAGTAACCTACTAATAATTGATGCTCTTAATACTATATTTTAATATATTCAAAAAGAAGAATAAATCATATGAAACCGTTAAGTATAAAGAGTATCTTTCTTAATGCATAAGCTTCAATAAATTAAACTTAACTCGTCATTATTTCAAATAAATAATAATAATACATATTCATAATTGAGATTCAATATAATTTATTCCATGATTAATTTAAATCAAATGGTCTCTGATGAAATAGTTCAAACAATCATAACCGGAAATATAAAGTTCATGACATTTATTGTCTTTTTTTTTAAAAGAAAGAAAAAATGACAGTAAAATAAAAACAAACAAAATATTTAAAGGAAATGAAGCCAACCTGAACGCTTTTTAAAAATAAAATTTTTTTAAAAAAACTGGAAAAAAAATCTTTTTTCTATCTACAATTATCTAGTTAATAATCATTTACTAGACCTTTCTATATGACATTTTAACATAATTGAAACTAATAAAATTTCCGTTGTTGTTAAATGTTCAATGTTCTTCAGAAAACATTCCACTTAATCAGAACATGTGAAATAATTCTAACTTATTTAATAATAATTCTCTTTCTCATGTAAAATCTTCTATTCGGCTACAAAATGTGGCCATTAAGAGTAGAAGATATTAGAAAGCTACTAATATTTGACTACAGATGTCTTATAAAATATTGCTCACGTCTTCTTGGATCACTAGGTAAGTAATAGTGAGATTAGACGCAAAGTATTAGGTTATGATGGTAAATCACTTGATGAGGTTGTGAATCTTCATCGACAGAGATGGTTGGTTGGTATGCCTAAACACCGATTTCTACGACGCGTAAATCTGACTAATGTTGGGGATGGTTGGAAGAAAGTTAGGGGAGGCCAAACCAAAACTCGGCATCAGTGCTTGAAGTCACTAACTTCTGGTCTGAGCCATGTTGGTAGATGCAGACTACTTGGTTGGGGTCCGCGTGATTATAGTAACCAATGGTTGGAGACTCTGTGTGACATGGTTCAGAATCAATCACAATGGCGTAGGTGTATACACTCTCTGTCTTCCCTCAGACTATGAGATTAAAATTATTTCATATCTTTCTTTCTACGAATTAATTCTTTCTTCCTGTATTATATCCGTACAAGAAATATTTCTTTTATATGTTACTACCCCTGAAGTAACTACTTCTACGAATCCATTGTTCATCTTGTTGTGCTAATGAGGTGTGGCAACTTGGATCGATGCACATATGTGCCTGATCCTACGTTATAGCTGACCGACCGAAAGTCTTCTACTTAAATAATAAAAATTGAAGTCTTTCACTTATGATGATAATATCAGAAGAGATTTTGTGGATATTGTAGTAATTCCAATCGTTGAAATCATGAGTTAATTGAAGTTAGACTACTATGGAAAACCTGAAAGCCCTGGACGGCCGTTTCGTCCTTTTGTAGCACTGCTGAGAAAACCTACCATTGGACGAAACGGCCGTCCAGTGCTTTTAATGACAAGTTTACTAGTTATTCATTGAAGTTGTACGAGTTCTTTTTGTTCTTTTGTAATTCTTAAAGTTATCTGACTTTATTAATTAATTAATAAAGTGATGCAACATGTCAAAATTTAGTAGCTCAACAAACAGACACATCTCGATAGTCTCCGCAATGCTTTGTGTATAGTCACTAATAAAAGCCGGTATTAGTTGTAATTTTATTGAACTAGGGCATAAAGATTCTTGTGACGGCATATCAACTTTACTGTCTGCCTCCGCTTAATAAATAATTCACAAGCTCTGATATAAAATAAAGTAAAAAACTATTAAATAACTCAAAGTCATATGTTGTTTTCTCTTTGTTCGGGAATTTTTCATAGTGTTAAAAATTAGTGTATTAATATGATTATGTACTATGGAATGTTTTAGTATTAAAAACAGTTTCAGATTTATCAAGATTTTATTATTGGGTAGAATGCTTTTACTGGTCTTTATGAATACTTACTATCGTTATCCGTTTCAATAATGATTCCATGACAGAGTCCATAAAATAATGTTTAGCTACGATTATTAATGACTAAAATCAATATTATTCTGCTTATGTTCCACATTTAAGAGAACGTTGAAATATAAATCAAAGTTACTTATTTTGAAAACGGTTATTTAAGTGTTCATATATGTTTGCACTTAATAAACATATGATTCTATCTTCACTGAATAAATTATGCATCATCCTGACCTTATGAAATAGTTATTCAATCATGTACTTGATTTGGATTCATAATAATAAAGTTTGGAACCAACTTGATATACAAAGATTGTATGTTTTCACAGACCAAACAAAAACAAATCTCCAACAGATTTATAATACTTCCTGTATAATCATTAATAATATGCATTTAATCCAAGTTTTGTGGATGTATTCTGACTTATATTTACTATAGATTATGACATCTATTATTATTATTATTGAGTACCTTACTATTTATATATTTAAACAGTTGTACAAATAGATTTTTAACTGAAGCATTGATTTCATCTTGACCTACTAATTAACAATTTTCAATCTATTTAAAACAAATTAGTCAATATACACTGAACATTCATTCATCAAATTGAAATGTGATATAAACAATTATCTTTAAAATCTATTGGTTCGTATGTACTATATCAGAAAAGAAGAATTTTCAAAAATCAACTTTCACCAACTTAAATGTATGAAATATAAAAGACGATTAATTCAAAGAAAAGTATATTATTGATAATGTACATGAATTATAATGAATCAAATGATGACTGGTAATGAATAAAAGAGTTAAGTATTAATTAGAACTGTAAATAATAATATTCTCCTATGCATACAGTACACTGACAAACATATTTGGAATGTATACTTTATACGTTCTAGTAAAATTTAAATAGATTATAACTAAAGATAAACAAGAAAAGTAATAATGAATACACTACTGAATATCAAACTTCTATCTATGTTACTCTATCGTTTCATACGACCAATTTATAACAGACAATTCACACTTTAATATCAGAAGAGGTTTAGTGGATATTATAGTAATTTTAATAGTTACGATTTTGAGTTAATCGAAGCTAGACCACCATTGAGAACCTAGAAGCACTGGATGGCCGTTGCGTACTACTGTGGAACTCCTCAGCAGTGCGTATCCACTATCCCGCCTCGCGAGATTCGAACCCAAAACCTAGTGTTTTCGCACGCATACGCTTAACTATACTTTCGTAAATCTTAGAAATTCAAACGTTTCCCTATGTGGTGTTTTATTACTCAAATTTACAGATTACATGATTATGTATAAGTACAATTTCAAATCATAAACCAGTATAATTTGTTGATCTTATTATCTAAAAAAGGATGACTTAGAATATTTTCTATGTAATACAATATACAACTGAGTAATTCATTTAATCAACTGTTTGGTAAGTTAGCTTTTAGAATATACAATCTAAATCATTAACAAAGAACTACTGAACATTTATACTAATCTTCTTAATAGAAATGTAAACTTTAGGTAGAATGATTAGATAACAATTTACTTTTTGTATTATCTAAAATTAAAGATCAAGGTATCTAGTAATTTGTAACTTGTTATATTAATTTATTGTCAAATTATTGATTGTAATATAAAAAATCCGCGTTTTATTAAATAAGAAAAACATTTTGAACAAAAGGGTCATTGATGATAATCTAATGTATCATACTAAGTAGTAATTCAAGCTAATGAATTGTAATAGTAAGAATGATTTTAACTAAACGATTTATAAATAACAAGATTCATTATTCTCCTGGTTACTCGTCGACTCTGATGAAATCATATATTAGTAAAGATGTTGTATAAAATTTATGAAACATAATTGTGTAAAATATCTCCGTGAAATCTGAAACTACTTTGACATAAAACGATACTTTAAATAAAGAGTAATGAACTATTTTTAATGTATAAGTTATGACATTTTATAAGTGTTTAGACAATCTGTAAAGTGTATAATACATTTAAAAAGTCTAATGATATTTATTTCTCAAAAATGCTGATTTAATTCGAAAACATCTTTTAGGATGGATATGTGGAATAAATATTAAATGTATAATGACTAATAATCGGAAAATGGTTATTATGACATTTGTGATTAATTTTAACCTATTGAATAAAATCAAATGCATAATCAATTGATCTACATGAACTCCTCAATTAAGCATTATAGTTTAGAGTGGATTAATATACTGATTATATATTTTATAAATTCATATTTATAAATTCATAGATCAAACGATCATGATGGGTTATGATAATTAATTGTTTTGTAATGGCTAGACTTGAATATTTCCTTCTCTCCTCTAATTTATTCACTGCTTACTGAAAGAAAATTGCAATAAACAACAGACATGACAATTTCATTTTTCAAAATAACAAGTTATATTTTTCTAGAAAAAACTTACTTGTAGACGATCTAGTGCAATAGCAATAATACTGATTGTAGAGACAAATATATTTGCTGCTTGTCCCATGGCAACAGATTTACACATAATCTGACCTAATTTCCAATCATAGTGCCAATACAATATACGTAGTAAATTAAATGGTTGTGTAAATAAACATAAAATTAAATCACTTATTGCTAAATTTACAATAAATAAATTACGTGGTGTACGCATCTTAGGCTTTCTGATAACTGTATATACAACAAGTAATGAACCACATGATCCAAAAAGAATCATTGTTGTATATATGCAAATCAGTATAATCAATTCATTCAATTTTAATAAATTATGAAGATTTAACTCTGTTAATTCTATAGTTAAAATTTGTAACATTTCTTCATTATGATTACCATCAACACAATACTTAACATATTGAATCATTGCTTCTAAATATCCACTTGATGTTAATTGAGGAACCTTAGAACAGAAGTCATCATATCCTTGTAATGTATGATTATAGTGATTTGCGTTAGTTTTTTCTACAATCTGTGCTTCTAATAATGCTGATTTCATTTTTATTAGAAATATGTAGACATTTAACTTTCAATGATTTTAAACAGTCGATAATAACATAATTTAATCAATTCTTTAGTGTATATAAATAGTGGTAGTACAGGTAAGTTATTTGCTTTGTTTCACCAGTAAAAATAACAATTTATTGTATAAACAAAGAAAAAGATTTTAAGAGATTTGTTTACATCCCAAAATATTACAAATACATTGTAATCTACAGTATAATTAGTGAACTCTGTTGATTATTTCTCACAATTGTAACCAATCACAGAATAGTAACATTTCTATTGGTTCAGTTAAATAAACCACATTGATCCATTTGACAGTTTTGTTATTAATTATTTTTTTGCTTTTTTTAGTTTATCAAAATAATTTCTACATGCTATTATCAACCATAATCAGAATAAAACAACAAAATGAAACTATTGTTTGCTAAAAACAGAAATATACAAATCTAATGTCATTTGTGTGTATTGTGCGAAATTGCTGATTTCTGACTAAAATTTTGTATAATGGTAAAGGTTGGAAAATACCTTTTGTAATAGGATAAAACCAAACGTTTTTTTTACCTGATATAAATTTCTTTATACTGAAGGGATCAAAAGCTGGGATCTTTTGAAGATCATGATTACTCTTATTACTTTATATTAGCATTCCTTAGTATGAACTTTGATAATTATATAATAATAATTTCAAATGATGAAATCATGAATCAATTGAAGTTAGACCACAATGGAAAACCTGGAAGCACTGGACGGCGTTTCGTCCTGGTATGAGACTCTTCAGCAGTGCGCATCCGCTATCCCGTCCCCCGCGAGATTCGAACCCAGAACCTATCAGTCTCACGCATGAGCGCTCAGCCATTAAACCGCTGAGCCGGCATCCAACGGTGTTAGTGTCTAACTTCAACCAGTCCATGGCGGGACTGTGAATGAGCACTGGTGAGGAGTCCTATAGTAGGAAGAAACGGCCGTCCAGTGCTTCCAGATTTTCCATTGTGGTCTAGCTTCAATTGACTCATGATTTCAACTACTGAAGTTACTAAAATCTCCACAAAACCCCTCCTGATAATTATAATAGTGACAAACATTTTTCACGAAATAAAAACTAATTTCATTTGGTTGATAAAAAAATCATCTTTGTGGTCATAACTTAATATTCGAATTTAAATGAATAGAAATGTTGGAATTGTGGCTTTCTTGTCTCCTTCACCTATCAGTAATATCTTTTGTTTATTGAAACCTAATGAGAATAATCAATCATTTATACAGATTTCAGTTGTTTTTGCGAATAATCAATTATGCTGATATTTTAAGTTGAGAGAAAATGTTTACCACATGATGGGTAGTTGTTTCGAATAAAATTTTAAACACCAATGAATTTTGTAAGGATATATAATGATCCTAGTATCTTGAAATTATCTATGCCCATTAAGAGCCTGAAATCTACAGTGCCAACCTCTAAGAACATAAACTTCCAACGAATGCCATTTTCGGGATTACACCAATTTTTCTCATTTTTTAAACAAATCACTATAATACATGCTGTTTAAAATTTCTATCGTTGTTCTCTACTTGATGGACTATTTGGTCTACAAAATGACTTAATTGACTACGTGTAATTGTAGCTTGTGTTGTTAGCATCGCTTAGAATAGTAATTAGTGATTATCGATTATTCTAAACAAGTGAAAATTAAAACTTTTTTCCCAGATTTGTACATGCTCTTTCATCTTGAAGAAAACTGAGAGTATATTATTCTTTACTAACTTTTTTTAGTATCTTAAGCTAGACAAAACTTAGTGAAATAAACTAGAACGATGTACTAATACTTCAACTGTGTAAATGTTATGTCTAGTTCTTTTGACGGAAAACAATGTAACCTATAATTAGTGTGAAAAAAGCTTTATACAAATTATTTTCGATTTATATAAACTAATTGTATATGTTGTTCAGAATTCTTTTGCTATAGTATAGAGAAATGAAATTCACCTTTTCATTTGAATCGCAACAATGAACTCTTCACACTGTGATGCTAGAAGTTCTACATCAACCTATTCAATAGCAAGGTAAATGCATTACAACAAATTAATGAGCAAATTAATACAATAGTTGTATAATTTGTGTGATAAACAAGAAAATGTAACGACACTTTATCATTTGAATAACTAACATGGTCTGTATTTACTGGTTTACTTTTGAGGAATCGCATTCAAAATATATATGCGCTGTTCTCTAATGTGCTTATAAAGATGATAGACTATTTTGCTGATACTGAAAATAACTACGTGGTATGAAAAGAAATCATATCTAAAAATAAAAACTTAAAATTTTGAAGCTATATATTCAGTCGGCACTGATGAACTACTGAATTACTGGATTTTAGGGAGCAGATGGTGTTAGAAGCCTGTTTCGAAAATCGCTCACAACATCGGTTAGATCCCGAAACACTTTTTTAACTGTTAGCTTTAGCTGCAGGATTATTTACACACTGTTACAGAGTATCTAAACTTGATTGGATAACCAGCTCACTGTTGATCCAACAAGGTAAAATTGTATGCAGCCATAGTGACCTATTGTACAACATGCAAAATTAAGTCCGATCTCACATATAAAAATTTTTGAACCAGTCTTGATTAAAAAGATTTGAGTCAACATGTGTCAGGTGGCATTTTACAGTGAAATTGTTACCTCGGAAAGATAAGTTGAATCGAAAATTAGTTGGCAATGGCACGTTACCTATAAAAGCACTATTCATATTTTGCGTTGTTACTTCCATAAAAACTCTCTCTTTATTCCTTATGATCCTTGTAATGTGATGATAATATGACAGATACCTAATCTAGAGGTAACCTCAATCAATCAATTCCTGAGTTAAATCTAGTTCTGCCTATTAATTTTCTGTTTCTCCGAATCTGATCGTGACTGTCCTTATAAATAACTGAATAACTGTAGTAATCTTGTTTAAATGGACAAACGTTTATAAAATATCACGACTAACAATGGTTGAATGTGGAGAAAAGTACATTCTTTGTTTAGGGGCAGAAATGTGTTGTGTAGATTTAAAGTTATTAGTAACCCGGCTTTAACTCGAATAGACCTACTAGAGACATTTACTTATTTTGATGAACAATGACTGACAAAATAACAGTACGTATTCAATGGTGACCTAACATTGATCGATTCATGATCTCAATCAAGACTAAACAATCTCTAAAACCATATAATGAAAATAACAGTAGATTTGATCTGATTAAACATTGAGAATGGTTGAAATCTACAAATCCAAAACTCAAACTATCTAATAAGTAAATAGATTTTTGGGCATTTATTATTTCCAAACATTAATAGATTTTATTAAGTTAATTTAGAGAAATCATCATGGATTTTACTCAACTTTATTTATTTAATGTGATTTCAAGTGTAGAGTAAATACCAGATGTTTTCAAAACTGGGTCATATTTATTTTAACTAAATGATTATGATTATTTTTTTACAAAACAATCATGATAAAAATAAGATAATCAATACTTTTCAGAACCATTTTTCGTTTACAATAAAATATTTTAATAATATTTGTAATAAAATGCAAGTTAATCATGTTGTCCAATTCTAAAACTATGAATTGTCAAAATGAGGCTAAATTAAGTTACGAAAGAAAAAAGAGAATATTTTGTGACAACATGGAAACAAAAGTTATTTACTAACCATATAGTATAAATCTTATATGGAATTCTATACGTGTGAATGTTCTTATGTGAACATTTACTCAAATGAAGCGAAGTAGAAAGAGCGAAATGAAACAAAATGATGAGTGGTTGAGGGGGCGTGTGAGCCGACTTCATTTAATCAAGCGTTAATCGATATTTATAGTCACACGGAAATAAGTTACAGACATGTGATGAATGAGATAAGAAGTGCACACACATACGCTCATATAAAAACAGTCATAGTTGTTATTCCAATAATTAATAACGTCAAAACGTAACTTGAGAAGAATGGATAAATTGGCCCGTTCTGAAGTTAGCATGAGTTATATGAGCTTAACATAGTAATCAACACTACATATTTAACTATCTTGGTTGTATTAAGTACGTCACTGTGAATTTTAGTTCAGACTAAATTTGTAATAAGAAAACAATGTATTCAAATAACGTAAATGAGTAATTTATCTACGTACTGACTGTATTTGCTTCTATCAGTGGTAAAATATGAATATAAAATCAGTATTCAAGGTTATTAAGGAAAAATGGTTAAATGAGACAACAGCAAATGAAACTACTTGACGGAACTAAATTATTTCTCTTTATACTGTATTTTAACTCTGATTTTTAATGTTGTCAAAGTACTATTTATCACTTGTCTATTTGAGTAAACTAATCTTATAACATAATGATTACGTTCTTATGTGGTTCAGCTTTACAACACTATGGTATTATGTGACATATTCTCAAAGGTTTTGTTAAGAGCTCACTGATAAAACAAAATATCATATGGTGTTTTTTTTTTTTCAAAACTACTAACCTTTATGATAAGCGTCATTCCTTAAGAAACTTTTGTTAAAACATCGATCTATAGGTTTTTTCTTAACGTTTTTACGTTTTTACGTAAGCATAACTTCATAAATGTTTGAATAAGTGGGTTTCGATCAGTAGAAGAGACCCAAATATAACTATTTATATACCTATGGAGAAATATAGTACAGTTAGTAGTTACATGATTTCTCTAGTGATTTAAAACGTCTTACAAATTCAACACATGTGAAACTACTTTTCATTTGTGTCAAATTTACATGAACACCAATTACAGTTTATTTCATAGCCATGTCTGAAATATAAAAATGGTAAACTGAGAGAAAATAATACAAGATCTCATAATAAGTACTCATTAAAAACAAGATTGACATCAGGGGAAATTTTTATTGAGAAATGAAAGAGCCGTGAATTGGAAAATTCCTACCAACGACTGATGATAATAAAATAAGATATTCGCGTTAAAACAAACATTATTTAACACTTATTCCTTATTAAATAAGTAAACCGAAATTTCCAGGAAATAAGTCTCTCAAAACTGAATTTTCTAAAATGACAAAAGTCATTCTGCAAGAAAGGTCAACGATAACCAATCAAGATCGAGGTCTACAGGACAAGCTGTGATTCATATCCGGAAAATTTCGTACACT